ATAGATAAAAGTAATGCTGATAATGTGCAAGAACTCACACTATATTATATTTCATTAAAATGAAAACAGTCAAAGGTGTTGTAGAAATTCAATATCATATTACCAAGCAATTTAAAAGCGAAATGTGTACTTACTGAGCCATGGTTGAAGGTTGGTTCCGTCTTACAATGACACTTTGTGTCCGGGTTCTCACTACAGCAGCACTGTCTCTGCTGAACTTCCTCATTCACGGCCTGAGCAGCAGCTCTACAGCAACTCCCAATGAACACGCCCGATGGATTACAGGGCTCGTGGCGTCATTCTTTTTGCTGTCTGTGATTGGCGGAGACACTCTGACCAGAGATTGGAGGCTGTTCATTGGCTGACTGGTTTTGTCTGCCCACGGTGTCAGAAAAAAGCTGCAAGTAAATTAAGAAAAAAGTAGATTTGCCACGATGAACTCTGAGACTGACGATTGATTTTGTAGAGCACCGTTGCATCACTATAGTGATGTGTGTAACGTATGAAATTTCATCACATTAAGATTACTGCATTTACTCATAACGACTATCCTCCGAAATGTACAACTTCATAAACGAGTTTAATAGCGAAAATGACTGCATATTAAATAAATGCAATAATTGTACGGTTTTTTTAAAATACGGCATGAGTTTGTAATACTATCTAAAAATTAAATCAAATCACTTTTATTGTCACATCCCCACAGCACGTGCCTTGGTGAGTGAAATTCTTGGGAGCGTGCTCCAGACAGTGCAGAAACAATTTACATATAACTGTTAGACATACTTGCAGACTTATACAGATGACAGTGTGTACACATCTGTATATAGTCTGTATATACACATACAGTACATATACTTGGTACACACAGTGTACTATTAGACATACTTACAGTTAGCAATTCACATTATACACAGTATGTACACATTCTACATTATGTACACATATATACACAAAATATGCGAAGGTGCAGCAGATTGTACATGAACTGGATACGCAAAATGTCATAGGTGTGCATTGGATGGTAACCAGTGGTAGCAGATAGATTATTGTATTAAGTGCAGTGTGTACGTGTAGTCCAGTATTGAACTGTCGGATCTATCTGATTAAAATACAGAATTATAAGTATTTTACATGTAATTATTTCCAAGATAATATCATAACGTAACAATATAATTATAATTACGTAATTATTTCCAAGACGATCTTTCTACAAATAGCTCAGTACTTTATTTCATTTAGTAAATGTTACTTAATCAGTTCAAATAAATAAAATATAAAGGCATAATTGGTAACACTTTATTTAAAGGTGTCCTTGTTACACGTTACATACCTACTATTATAATAACAATGAATTATGCATAATTACATGCACGTAACCCTAATCCTAACCCCCTAACCATGTAGTAAGTACACGTAATTAATATTACTCAGTACTTAAATGTATAATTACACTGTAACAAGGACACCTTAAAATAAAATGTAACCATATAATCCTATACAAAATTTTGCAGCATATTATTTTTATATCAAATGTGATATTTTTATGTACTCAACTCAGTAGTTAGTATTTGTTAGATGCTTTTGCCAAAAGGTTAAAACATTTAATAAAACCAATAATTATTATTATTTTTTAAATAAATAAACAAAACAAATAAGCTAGCTTTGTTGTGCTTTAAGACAAAGTGTCAAAAGACCAAGAAAAAAAACATTAAAAAATAAAAACACTTCTTTTACAATTGCCAACCATATCAATTCAGGAAGTCAAATAATGAAATATCATGAGATATAACTAGCACAATGTTACTTTAACTAAACAGCCTTTGAAAGAAAATAACCAGATCTAATGTAGGTATAGGTAAAAGTTTTATGTATAATGCAAAGTGTTGTGTAAAGAGAAAGAAAGAGACAAAATGAGATCCGTTCTTTGTCTAATGCACTGGTTGTAATTTTATTTTAACTCATTCACTAAACAGATCAATGGTGCAAGATTACCATACACAGAATTAAGATATATGCATTACACATCTAGGCTATACAGCGAATGGATTATAATTATTACAAATACAGGAGACATATTTACATTTCAATCCAAGTTCCATACAACATGAAATATTTACAAAATAAGTATGAAAATGAAGCCAATCTGACAAAAAATGTACAGTGTTAATGCCACGGCTGAACTGTTTTCTGTTGTTTCATCACAATGAGAGGGAATGATGTTCATCTGATGGGGTGATACAGTAATGCCAGGGTTGCTTCAAAGGCAGCGTGGGGGGAACAAATGCATGAGTGAGCACAAGTGACTGTGTCAGGAAAAGCAAAATGTTATATTTCTAGAAAATATATTCCCTGATGTTAGAAATAAAAATGAACAGGCCTCATCATAACTCTGCCCTCCATAGACTAAATGTGAAAAAGTGCCCTTGTAACATGGTCAGATTCCTATTTCAAGAAATAAGAAGCACAGCAACATGTCAGTCATTAATTAAGCTATTCTTCTTCTTTCATCAGATAATGCATGCATTTTTAGTGAAACGCAAGGTACATTCAAAGTCCACTTCAATGAGAAAAACACCACAACCTAAAACCATTTGGTTTCCATTTGAGAGAACAAAAACATTGTTCAAGCTTTATTTGTTCTGTTGTTAGTTGTATAAACATGTGCAAAGAGCTGCAAACTAATATATACATTGCAAAACAATAAATACAGTTAATGAAATTCATTATGAATATCACAGTCGACCAAGCCACTCAACAAAGATGGTGAAAAAAAAATGCCAAAAACCTTTGCTCTGGCAAAAATTGGTACCATTAACTCACACTTGTCATGTAATTAGATAAGCGCTAACCTTCACTAAGCTTCAGTGCTCATTAGGCACGCTGTGTGCCGGATCTGAATATTCAATATGAACATTTTCACAGATGCCATATCAATCAAACGGCTCAGATGAAGCCTAAAGGCTGGTTGACCAAAGGACTTGACTTTCCGAGCCATTTTCATGTGTTTCCCGTGAAAATGCACTAAAGCTCTTTGCTAAGAGAAAGAGCAGTCTATGATGAGCAGCAAGAATATTGACTTCATAAGGATTGACAGTGATCAGTCTGACAGTGTGACAGTCTGGTGGGCAATAATTCCTGCTGGTTGTCTGGCCAGAGGACTGTTATATGCTCAACCAAATGGCCGAAACTTCACCATCAAACTGAATCCCTGGTAACTTCAGCGCTTGTGTCTTGACTGCACGTCTTCAAATGCACAGAGCAAAGATTTTCAAAACAAAACCATAAAAAAAGCAGAACATTACCATCCCTTTTCCCTCACTGCAACTGCACACTGCACTGCAGTGAACTGCATAAATGGCCCAATTTCTACTGACAGTGATGAAACTGTTTTAGTGGCCAAACTTGGTCTGTTCAAATAAGTGAGGAACAGCTGAATAAAAATGAGAAAAGTGCCCTTCTCGCCTTCCGTTGTATAATGTAAAACACTGATCACATGTTAATAAAAATAAGTTAAGATAATCAGTAGAGATACATGATAAATGTTCAATAATATTAAAAAGTGATCCTGCTCATTCTCAAGGGGAATAAAGGCTGGTTTAATGATCCTGCTGACTTGAGATTTTTCCCCAAACCGCAAAAATAAACCACACAAATAATTCAATCCTTCATTTCCTAACTCTAACTAATCGCATCAGTATCTCACTCAACCGTTTGGTCATCAGAAGAGGCAACACCATCAGATCTTTCTTGCTAAAACAGCCCCGAAAATGGTGTTCCGGTAATACGGTTACAAAGACAGAAACCCATAATGCATCATGTCTCGTCATGAGTAGCGTTAAGCACAGTAATCCTGAACGTTATGTACAAATGGATTCATTCGGTCAGTTGTTCTGTGTTAAGGTAATTCTTTTGCACCATTTTTTTTTTTTTACCTAATCTACTGAGGAAATCATTTAAATCGAGCAGAATACTCCTGTAGGCTACCGAAAGAGCGATATGTGAGGGATCATCACCATTATTTTCTTTCCCTGGTATTATATGTCTTATGATTACATACTGTACTTTGCTAATGGTATGTTTTATGTCCTTGATATGTGGAATTAATGTCAAGCAAATACATCGCGACAGGCTGGGCTAGTAAACGGCTGTATGTACATGGTCACTAAGCCAATACTGCAATAACATTCGGTTTAACGGTCAATTTCTGTCTTGTTTAGAAAATTAAGCATCTTCAAGAAGTGCTTTGGTCCATTTAAAAATCTTTTTTTTAAGCAATATCTGGAGCAAAGCTATTTGTTTTTGTGTTATAGAGAAAGTTGATTTGTGATAATTAAATACGGAATATTTTAGATATTATTTATATTATTATTATTAATATATATATTTTTACTCAATGGGGGTTTTTATAGCAAACCAACTTTCTCCTGAGGGTAAGATGTTCCTGGCAGACAACACTGTAAGGATGAAGTTTCCAGACGAGAGTAACTCAAGAGAAAGCAGAACCTGCTCTGAAGATTCGTGCACGCACAAACAGACTATTACAACATGCTACTTGAAGGAGGTTCAGTTATGACAAAGAACAAAACTGAAGACAGAATAAATCCAATCAATAACACAATAGAGAGGGGAGGGAGAGAGGGAGGGAGGGGGGGACAGTTGGTGTTTAGGAACTGAAAGTTCATTTGTGGAGAGGAGAAGAGAGCCACAGGTCAGTTGTTCTGTGTTAAGGTAATTCTTTTGCACCATTTTTTTTTTTTTACCTAATCTACTGAGGAAATCATTTAAATCGAGCAGAATACTCCTGTAGGCTACCGAAAGAGCGATATGTGAGGGATCATCACCATTATTTTCTTTCCCTGGTATTATATGTCTTATGATTACATACTGTACTTTGCTAATGGTATGTTTTATGTCCTTGATATGTGGAATTAATGTCAAGCAAATACATCGCGACAGGCTGGGCTAGTAAACGGCTGTATGTACATGGTCACTAAGCCAATACTGAGAAATGAGCACTATCTCTGTGCGTGTGTACACTCGTTCAGTTCTTCATCAGACTGGACCGTCTCCTCGCCAGCTTGGACCTGTAGGAAACCACAGAAAGAGTCGGGTGAGCAGTGAAAATTTTGAGGGAAAAAAAAACAAAACAGACAGACAGACACACACAGCAGCCCTAAAAAGTATTTGGATACTTAAGACACAAAGTCTGACTGTGACTGTTAGAAACAAAACATGAAACCAAGTGGCATCTGTTAACAACAATAGAACTTTTCTCACAACTAAAATCAGTTTTCTCTCTTTCTCTATATATATATGTAATTACCTTTTTTTTATTATTGTTATTATTACAGTAATACGAACTTATAAAAATAATTGAATGATTATTTTATTTTATTATTTTATATAGCTAACTATTTGTTTGTGCCATTTCTTTAAAATAAATGCCTATATAAATATTTATTTAAATTAAGTAATAACAATTAGTGTGTGCATTTGTGTAATTTCAGTATCAATGAGACACAAGAGTTTTAATTCATATTTTAATTAGTTTTATTTTATTTATTTATTTTATAGTTTCAATTTTCATTTTGCTTGTGTCATTTTATTAGTTATTTTATAGTTTTTATATTGATTTTATTTCAGATTTGTTTTAAATTTATATTAATTTTTTTAGTACACCAAGTTAAACTAAATGAAAATGAGAACTGTTTCTTTGGCAACTAGCTAAAATAAGCTTTTTTTATATATTTTCATTTTATTTTATTAAAATAAGAAACATTTTTATGGTTTTAGTTTTAGTTAACTGTAATAACCCTAGTGAGTTTATAAATTATATAGTTAAGCATTTGATTGTGCCAGATTCCTTTAAAATAAATGACACTTAGTTTGATATTTTGCAATGCCATTTCTTTTAGGGACATTGAATGTTTGCAATTTTTTCTGGAGAGGACCAGAAAAAAAAAACACTTCAAAGAGGTGGTCAGTTTGGTCCAGACTAGACTAGGTTCATTCTAGGTAATCACCCAAAAAAACCACAAAATTTTGGGGAAAATTTGGGCTGTGTACCTTATTGTTCCTGCTAGCAGTGGGTTAAAGGCGTACAGCCAGTCGTTCATGTCTTTGTCATTGTTGGCCTGGAGGAGGATCCCTCTGTGCTTGGTGCACACGGCGAATGTATTAGGTGTCTGCAAGCCATCAAACAGCAAAAATCAGGCATTCGGGTGACATAAATTACAGGGAAAACAGTTGATTTCCACATAGCAGGTGAGGCTTTACCTTGAGCATGGCCTGCTGGTCTTCACTGTATTCCACCTGGGCAGTGGATAAATTCAGCACTCCCCTCTCTACTGGGTCCTTGTCATTGTTGTAGATGAACACGTATGGCCGTCGAACCACCACAAAGTGCTTCACCCAGGAGTTGGAACGGGACTCCATGAAACTGAGGAATCCCTTCTTTGATACCACAGACCTGAGTGAACACAAGAGGGCATGTCAGACCAGCATATTCCTGTACAATAACAACATCTCTGCTGCCCCATTCGCGGAAACTGCAACACAAAACAGCTTAATTGAATGATTTCAGTGTTCAAATTCATCTTGATTTTTGTGAGAATTGAATAAACAAAACTAGATGTGCCAGCTATATCAAAACTCTCACCCAGGTCTCATTTCCTCAATATCAGGCACAAGGTTGAGGAACTCGTGTTTGCCGGCGCGGGCCAGGTAGGACGTTTCCAGAATGGGCACCATGGGGAAGTTCTCATAGTCTGAGCATGAGGGGCTGGTGGCACGAGAGTTAGCTTCAGGGGTCCTGGACAAGACAGATGTTTACACAGGACACAACTTTTAGAAGACTGTATTTTGAGCTTATCATTTGTGCTTTTACATCCGAACCGTACCGAGAGTCTGACAAAGAGGGGCAGGTGGAGGAGGGTGTGAGAGTAGCACTGCTGAAACTGGTGACGGATGGGTCACGGCCCATAGGAGAGATATCCGACAACTGAATGAGACAGAAAACAGGTTTTTTTTTTTTGTATTTTTATTAATTCAAGCGGATATGTTCCAATTCATACAAAACTGGTTGTTTTTCATCGTTCAAGTCCAGGTTACCTTGCAGTCACTGATGCTGTTGTACATCTGGTTGTATTCACTGTTGAAAGTGTGTGTCAGGAGCCGGAGGCACTGCAAAGAATTAACATTAACATAAACGCATATCCCTTCTAATAGACATCCATTATCCAATTCAAAAGTCTGGGTTCAGTTATTTTTTTGAAAGAAATTAAAGCTTTTATTCAGCAAGGATACATTAAATTGATCAAAAGTGTCAGTAAAAACATTTATAATGTTCCAAAATGTTTTTTTTTTGTTTTTTTTAAATGCTGTTCTTTTGAACTTTTCAATTCATGAAAGAATAAAAAAAATATATCTAAAATTGTATCACAGTTTCCACAAAAATATAAAGAACCACAACTAGGGGTGGGCGATCTGATGATTTTATATCGTGATCGATCCTGAAGACGTCTACAATCTACCTTTTAAGTGAATCATAGAGATTGTGATCTTATTATGTCCTCATAATAATGTTAAAACTACAGCAATGTGGCTGGTCAAATTATATTATTATGTGTCTTTCATGCGTGGTGACGTTTTTAAAGAACAACTCAACGTGAGATAGCAGTAGTAGTCCACATCTGTTTTCTACATTGATGATAATAATAACCAATGTTTCTTGAGCAGCAAATCAGCATATTAAAATGATTTCTGAAGGATCATGTGAGTAATGGCTGCTGAAAATTCAGCTTTGCCATCACAATTTAAAATATATTCAAATAAACTAGTTATTTTAAATTTTAATAATAATTCATTCCTGTTTTTACTGAATTTTTGATTGAATAAATAAAGCCTTGGTGAGCATTTCAAAAACATTTACCGACCCCAAACTTCTGAACAATAGGTCTAAACAGGTGTGTGAGAATAAAGGCTGAAATACACTACACTAGTTTTGCACCCATTTTCAAATTGCAGTACGGAGAACTCGATGATAGTTGCCAAAAGTCAGAGCCAGTCTGCAGATTTGAGTTGACACTAGATTACATAGAAAATCGTGTAGTGTATGATGGCCAGACTCCGATTTTTTAGCTTCAGACTTTGATTCCATCCAGTCGGATGAGATCAAACATGTTTGATATTTTGAGCCGATTTTAGAACACATACTGTTTTCATTTGTCACGCGTGTGAGTTTGTTGTGATCAGAACAACTTTAAAGTCTGGTAATGTATGAACCTCAGTCGTTTAGTGTATGACGGCCAGTTCTTCCTCTGAGACTATTACAAAGTCGGTAAGTGTATGATGCCCAGTGTTTTGAAATCTGTTCAGATTTTAAAAGTCGTGTAGTGTATTCCAGCCTTTAAGCTATGCTCACTTCAACTCAGAAAATCAGAATTTCCAACTTCCTACTTCGAAAAGTGCAACAGAAAGTCAATTGAGTCAGACATTCAACTTAAAAATTTGACTTTCAAGAGATGCAGCTAAATAATGTCACAAACATGGCGGCATCCAGGCAGATGTACACAGGTAATGAGAAAGATTTACTTGTAAGGAAATAAAATGCATCGATGGATTCCAAGGGAGCATGTATGCCGATGAAATGCACCTTAAATGCACCTTAATGGTAAAATGGTTCTATAATATATGGTTGTAAACAAGAAAAAAATCATATATAAATATCTCATCTGCCTATAAATGGAAAGCAATTTCAAGTACTTGTACAGTTTTTTACCTTAGTGGCCAGCTCCTTCTCGCGGTCTACCAAGCTCTCGATGTCTGTGGAGTCGTATCCGCTGCTCTCACTGGGTGTGATGGCGCTCTCAAAGGTGGTGGAGGAGATCTGGGAGGAGATGCTGGTGGAGGTGCTGAGGGTGCCGCTGCTCAGACTGGGAGACAGAGAGTCGCTCAGGGATTTAGGAGGAGCCGTCTCACCCAGTTTCTCACGGAGCAGCAGCAGGTGACATGTCTTCTCCACCTGACAAGGATAGAAATGGACATCAGGGTCTGGAGATCACCACTGCCTGTCAGATATTCTTATGCAGATAAACACAAAGAGTGTAGCACTGCTCAATCATGATCTTTTGTCTTCTGTCCTCACCTCATGCAACTGCTCGAGTTTCTCCAGCTCCCACTGGTGCTCCAGGATCAGACTGTCTCCTCGGGGTCTCCAGCCTGCCAGGTTCTCCTCTCCTCGCACATACGCCACAGATGTATCCAGAACCTTCCGTCTCCGTCGCTGCATACCTGAAAATGAACAATGGAATTGATTCAATATAGCAGGCCCAATATATCAATATGCAAAATCACAAACATGACAGGCTAAACTGGAAAATCATAAATTTTACAATTTTTTGCAAAAATAAAAGTTGAAATCATAACCTTCGAAACTTGTTTTTATTTTATTTTATTTCCTACTGTCTATATATATATATATATATATAATTATTTGTAAAATATTTTATAAATATTATTTATAAATAATTTACACTATCATTCAAAAGTTTGTGGTTGGTCATTTTTTTAAAATGTTTTCAAAAGGAATTTATTTGATCAAAATACAGTAAAACTGTAATATCATTACAATTTTAAATCACTGTTTCCTTTTTACATTTTAAAATATAATTCATAATGTCAAATTATTCCAGTCTTCAGTGTCATACGATCCTTCAGAAATCATTCTAATATGCTGATTTGCTGCTCAAAAAATATTTCTTATCCTCCAGATAGGCTGACAGGGTCATGTAAATCTTCTCTCCGTAGGGAGTGACACGGTTCAGTAGGAGAGAGTTGTGCAGGGAGCTGTCCCAGACAGCCTCGAACCGGTAGAACGTCCTGAACAGGAAGAAATACATTAGAAACAATATGAATCCATGGAAGGATATCTTAGATATTTACTGCTGCTGTAGTGATTAATTGCACTGTATACTATTGTTTGAGCACGAGTTTGAGTGTGGATGTGCTTAAAGACAACATGAAATGACTTTCATAATCCATTTTACTTCTGTAATAAGACATTTCTGAGAGAAACAGAATATACAATGAGAAGAAAAAATATAGGGCAAGATTTATCCATTGCGAATTGAATGGATCATGAAAAGTTACACAACCGTTCAAAAAGTTTGGGGTCAGTATTTTGAACTTTCTATTAATCAAGGATCTTAAAAAAATCTATAATGTTTCTTCAAAAATATTAAGCAGCACGACTGTTTTCAACATTGGTAATAATAAGAAATGTTTCTTGAGCAGCAAATCAGCATATTAGAGTGATTTCTGAAGGATCATAATATGATACTGAAGACTGGAGTAATGATGCTGAAAATTCAGCTTTGCAGCACAGGACTAAATTACATTTTAAAATATATTACAGTAGAAAACATGATTTTAAATTGTAATAATATTTCACAATATTACTGTTTTTAATGTAGCTTTGATCAAGTAAATGCAGCCTTGGTGAGCAGAAGAGACTTCTTTCAAAACAATAAAAAAAAAACTGTACATGGTCCTTTTTACATTTTAAAATATAATTCATAATGCCAAATTATTCTAGTCTTCAGTGTCATACGATCCTTCAGAAATCATTCTAATATGCTGATTTGCTGCTCAAAAAATATTTCTTATCATCATCAACGTTGAAAACAGCTGCTTAATATTTTTGTAAAAACTGTACACTGATACATTTTTAACCAAGTCTTTGATGAATATAAAGTTCAAAAGAACAGCATTTATTTGAAACAGAAATCTTTTGTAACATTATAAATATCTTTACTGTCAACTTTTGATAAATTTAATGCATCCTTGCTAAATAAAAATAACAACACATTAAAAAAAAATCTCAAATTGAACAAACCATTAGTATTTTTAGGAAAATCTTACCTGGGCTTCCTGTGTCAGCTATTTTGCACAAGCTAAGCTCATAGATTCCAGTCACTTTATTACTGTAACAGAAACATCAGAAAACAGTGTTAGCAAAGTTTCTTAAATTTTTAAACGAAAAAAAAAAAAAAA